CTAACACTCAAAGAAAATGGTACAGTATTATTTATAAGAACATCCATATGATCTTCGATTGAATCCCTAGCTAAAACTTCAGAAGACTAACAAATCTATTTAATAAGTTCATTAAATCTACCCTGCAAAAGCAAGTAATGATTACTAGAACATACCGTGGATTTATCCAGAAAAAGGCATAACCAACCAACTTCTCTAAGTAATTTATTATACTTTATTATAGATGATAGGTCAAAGAATGTAGCAAAGGGTAACTGGATTTCAAAAAACCATTTGTTAGAGTTTCCCTGTGATACCCCTGATAAGACAGGAGCCATGGGTAACTGGACAAGCACACCTAAAGGGTATTGATTCATGGATCCATTTTGAGAGATGTCACCAGCCTCCAAGTTTGATTTTTTTCCCCATTCAATGATGTGCTCCAGTATTAAATGAAAACACAAATGGCATGGTGACCAAAATAGCTCCTTCCGAATGGTTATGCAAAAGCAAGAGGCCACCTGTCAAACAGGGAGACAGCACTCAGGCATTGAGCGTGAAGCTGAACTACAGACCTTGAATTTCTTTGATCCTATAAGTAGAAGCAACCATAGCAGTGGTAGTAGAAATAACTATTTATTATATGCATTGTATTATATAGTATTCATTTCATTTTTGTTACTTTTTTTACTTTTATGTTAATTGCTTTGAGTATTTTAGAAAAAAATTGAGAGATAATATACTTCACATAGCTTAAATTTCATTTCCATAAACCCACATATTCTAAATCAGAGTTTGTAAGGCTTTCTGTGGTCTCAAAATTATTGAAAGTGGTCCCAAACCATTTTTATTTGCTTGAAGTTTATAATATAGAACATTTGAATAGTACTGAATTTCAGGGTAAGACTTTTAGAATAATTTTTTCAAGCATTTTAGAAAATTTCATTTTTGAAAGAACTCTTAAAGAGGGTTTAAAAAGTACTTTAATAATCCAGAAAATGTTACCTTTCTTTAAATTCTCATAGGAGTTTTGGACTTAGGCATTTTATTCTTTATTCCCAGAGAAATCTTCCTAAAAAGTTATCTTGTCTTCCTATGATCATCTGTATTATTCAGGCAGCATCTCTTTTGCAACCATTAAACAGTGGGTCATAAGTACAGAGTGTATTTATCAGATTCATCTGTATATATCTGGGATGTTAAACATACCATACATGCTTCATTGTAAAGTAAAATAAATTTTTTGATTGAACAGTGGTACTGAGGCACTTTGATTTTTGAAAGTGGAAAATAATATTCATCTCTACAAATGTAGGACTCAGTGGTCTAACTATTGTGTTTTAATATAACCCATTGATTCTGAGAATTGGCATTGGTAGCCCACACTTCCTACTGTTGGACAGTCCAGCTTATGTGAAAAATTTCTTTTTGATTTTTTTTTTTTTTTTGTATATTCACAGTTTAAATTGGATTTAGGGAACCAAGAGGGAGCAGACCTTAGATTAATAGATACATATTAATAAATACCATATTTAAAAGTGGTAACTTACATTATCAACAACTGTGAAATATTATTAGAAACTAGCATTTCTGTTACAGCTGGTGATCAGGTAACAGAACAGCCTTAACCTGAAGAACCTGAGGGGGCAGTAAGTTGTCAGACAGCGTTGTGGGTGATCTCATTAGAGAAGCCGTATATCAGTACACTTATAAGAAATTCCAAATGGCCGAGCGTGGTGGCTCATGAGCCTGTAATCCTAGCACTTCTGGGAGGCTGAGGCAGGAGGATCACTTGAAGTCAGGAGTTCAAGACCAGTCTGAGCAAGAACAAGACCCCATCTCTACTAAAAATAGAAAGAAATTAATCGGACAACTAAAAATATATAGAAAAAAAAAATTAGCCGGGCATGGTGGCGCATGCATATAGTCCCAGCTACTCAGGAGGCTGAGGCAGAAGGATCACTTGAGCCCAGGAGTTTGAGGTTGCTGTGAGCTAGGCCGACGCCACGGCACTCACTTTAGCCCGGGCAATAGAGTGAGACTGTCTCAAAAAAAAAAATAGAAAACGGCAATGTACACATAGTTGATGTTCAGTAAATAATATGGTCTGTGATGGACATCTCATCTTTTGGGAAAAAGCACCTTTTTTTCCTCCTTTCTTTGATTGTTCTTACGTAGATTTGATGTAAGTCATATTTAAACTTTCAGAGTATTATTCCATATGGAATGGAGAATAGTATAAAGCAGAGGTTAGTGAACTTTTTCTTTAAAGGGCCAGATAGTAAAATATTTTTAGGCTTTGCAGTTCACTTACAGTCTTTGTCACAACTACTCTGCTTTGCTGTTGCACAGACAAAACAGCCTCAGACAATATATAAATGAACGAGTATGGCTCTGTTCCATAAAACTTTATTTATAAAAACAGGTGGTGGACCAGATTTGGCCTGTGGGCTGTCATTTGCTTACCCTTTGCATAAAGTATATTCTCATGAAAAATCGCTGCATTCTTGCAATAGAAAGTAACTTTGTTAACATAATGTCAGCTTAAAGTTACTAGGGATCTAGATGGTCTAGTAAGTTGCCCAGGTTGTCCTGTCCTACCCCTGATTGTCTAAAATGTAGTTTAACTGCTTATAAATACAAAAGTTGGTTTATTTACTTCCTCCAGAAGTGGAGACTTAGTGTGGTGGTTATCAGTCAATTTTTAAATTCCAGTGTCATGGAAAAAAACATTTCAGCTTCATAAAGATAACATTAGTACGGTGGCCAACTCTCTGATAACAAAATCATAAAGAAAAATCAAGAGATTTTTTTCATTGAAGATTGTGGCTAGTGCGTTAGTGTAAAAGTGTATACGTGTAAAACCTTGTGTTTCAATTCCCTTGAACCCTTGGAATGTGTATTATTACTATTTTGTAGATTAAAACTAGGATATAGAAGAGTTACTACTGTCAAATATGAAGTAGAATATAGTAATATATACCTTGTGTATTTGAAGGTCACATGATTGGCAACCTCAGGTATCCAGAATGTATTTTAGCACCAGAAAGAAAGGCTTTTGACCAATTAGAATAAATTTCAGAAGTGATTCACCAAAGATTATACATTTTATTCAAGGGAGATTTCTTATGTTACTACAACCTATTCATTCATCTTAAAATTAGTCCAATGAGTATATCACACAGAAGATCTGAAGCATCACATTTGAGTTAAGGTTCAGGGGTGTTAGAATAGTAGCAAGATTTGCTAGCTGACTGCTTGGCATTAAGGAGTAGACTGAAAAAATGCAGACATAAGAACTCTAAAACATGGCAGTTTGTGGCCTTTTATTGTAAGGACTTTATTGTATTGTTTATAGTATATTAATTGATACAGTCATACCTCCAAGTATCAATAAAAGATTGACTTTTTTCTGTTTAAGAAGGTAGATAAGTATATTATGTATTTTAGAAAGATTTTATTTTACAACTAAACAATTTAAAAGTGCCTTGTCATTCAAAGAGAGTGACAGATTTTTCCATTATGTGAAAAATTCACTTGGGAAAGAGCTTATTCCCAGATACTTACAGGAATAAGCCTTTGGATACTCCTTTATCCTTGGAATTCTTCTGTCCATGATTGTTGTTACCTTTGGGCAGTGATGTTTTTAGAAGTTGGGTTAGGTCAAATGGCATTCATTTTTCTCTGTTTTTTATTGGTTCGGGCTTCCGCTTTCTCATTCAGTATTGGGGTAGGAAGCGCACTCTTTCCCAGAGGAACCCAGGTAGGTAGAGTTTTGCATTGTTGTTCCTCCACTTCCTTGTTCTCAAATGCTGAGCATCCCTGCTCCACAGAACATATCATCCTCTGCACCCCTCTTTCCTTGAGAGAAGACAGTGGCAAAGTTGCATCTGACACTAGGCTCCTTCTGTGGTAAGAACCAAACCAACAGACCTGCCAAATCTGTACTTTGCTGTGTACAAACAGGCTGGTTTTGTGTGGGATCAGCTTCTTTCCAGGACTTGTTTGCGACTCTAGACAGTAACATTTTAAAGTGATGTTTGGCTTTTGGAGCATCCAGCTTGTTTAAATTGCCTTTCAAAGCTGCTGGCCCCTATCCTTGTGTCCAGATTTAAAAATCAGGCACTTTTTAATTTCAGTATAAAGTGGTAGTTTGATTTTTTTTTTTCTATTAAGAAAAGTGCACCATTAGGCTTTTACATGGATCACAGAAGCTTTTGGTCTGTTCTGATTGTAGTGTTGCTCATTTTTTTATGTTGACTTGAAACCCTAGATTTCTTGGGCCAAACCTGATTAGTTGTAGAGAGTTAATATGTAAGACTGATGGCTCTTTTTCTCTCTTTATTACCAGAAACTGGTTGCTCAAATGAAGCAGGATCCACAGGTAAAATACTATTGTTATTCATTTAATTTCTTATATTTGTCATGCTTACGTTGCATTTTTAAAAATAAAAATAAGCAAAGAATTATTCATTCTGATAACACA